GAAATTCCTAAAACCCCCCCACCCCCCCCCCCCGCCCCCCCAATTTGTTTTATATTTCCTGAAAGCAGGAACCCTTTAGAATAAAATGCCGGCAGTTGCAAATGTTTATGTTGCATGATATTAAGATTAGCGCAACAGTTTATCAAGCCTAGAGTGTCAGTAAAAAAAAAAAACAACATCCTTAAAGGAGAACTATGAGGTAAGTGATTTACACTCATCCTCATAGTTGGAGCTGATGTGTGACAATGAAACAGTCACAGGTCGGCTCTATTGATCGGGAAGTGAGCGAACACATACCGTCTGCAATACCCTACAAATACACAGCACAGTAAAAGGGAGCAAAAAGAGAAGTCATTTGTAAGAGTTGACAGACTTTAAAAGTAAAGATTTGAGAACTCTGTGGCTCAAATAAAAACTTTTTAAACATGTTATGTGACCATTGCCAGATATTGAAACTTGGGTAATGCATTCAAATGTGTCGGGATCCGCTCCGGCTGCTGCGTCTCAGTATACCGCGAGCTATAGCTCGCGGTATACTGAGCTTAGGGTAACGGGAGGACGCTAGTTTGTGTCCTCCCGTTACCCTAAGGAGAACTATGGGGAAAAACACTGACCCCATAGTTCTCCTTTAAAGTAGACCTGTCATTAAACTGGTAATTCAAAGTTTAGCTTATGATGGTAAAAAATGCATAAGCAGAGGTTCTCTTTAGTTAAAAGCATCTCAAAGATGTATTGCAGTTCTCAATGTTTTCTTTTAAGGGTATCTATGGTCAAAATCTAAGAATAAATATATATTTCTAGATTGAGTTTCCATGAGTTCTATCCCACTCCTAATAACCATATTGAAGTAGAAGTTTGTAAACTTACTTATTGACGATGCTCATAGGATGTACAACATCTGAACTTCCCACAATGTAACATCATCATTGCTTACTGGAAGCAATGCATGATGGGATATGCAGTCTTGAGAAATCAAGATTGTATTACATCAAGCAGCAGGGAATGAGACACAAACACTTGCTACATAAAAGAGATTTTTTTTCAATAAGCTTTTATTGCATTATCAAAAACAACTATAATATGTATTCATATTACAATGCCGATGCTATAATGCCGAAAGTGCCATTGTCCTGCCGATACATCGGCGCATCCCCAGAGAAACTGTGATAGCCGGCCGAGCGATGCGGGAGGAGAGCGCTGTGAGCAGACGGCATCTCCTCCCACACCGCTCAGGCTCCTATCAATGTTATAGTAATCATACTCTGTCCTCATGTTATCAATGAACAGGAACACTCAGTACAGAGGATTCCTGTTCATTGATAAAAGGGGATACAGAAAAAGAGATTGAGGAAGTTGTGTCTTTCTATTTTAAAAGGGAAATAACAAGGGTCTGTTTAGACCCCTAATATTTCCCTAATGTGAAAAAATTAAAATAAAAAACATTTTCGGATTCGGCCTGACATTTTTTTTAATTTCGTTTTGGTTTTAAAATCTCCATTTCAGTGCACCTCTAGTCTTTACCATTCCTTTAGGAGTCAAGGTCTGCCATGTCTTTCGTGCCCACCTCTCTCATTTCTTTAATGTAATAGGGAGCCTCTCGGTCCAACAGAGATCCTGGGTAACTGGGTCGGGTAACTCCTGCTTATGCATATTTTCATCCTATGCTCAGTTTAAATTGCCTAGATTTGTAACAAGTTTACTTTATGTATGCGCAGCATTTAAAAAATGTCATAATACAATAACTATATAAAGTTTTTGGCGGCACAGAGCTTTTTACACATATCTGCTGGCACTTGTGGTAAAAACGTGAAACAGTGGAATGCATATGTTTATGTTTTAAAAGAAAAACTTGGGGCAAAACGTTTCTTAACCCTTGCAGTGGGACTACCCCAGCTCTGAAAGGGTTAAGTGCTCATTTTCATCTAGATGCTCAAATGAAAAAAAATTATACTTACCCGAACCTTTGCCCGGTCTTTCCAGCCTTTCCCTCCACTGCAGTGGTCTAAGGTCCCATAAGTCATCACATCTTATACATGTATGTGAGGATGCCAAGGGACACTCCATCGCTGCAGTAGAGGAGAAGACAGGCTGCAGGGAGAGCTCTAACAGACAGCCTGCTCCGAGGGTCAGGTGATTATAACTTTGTTATTCTTGCACCTAGACCAAAATGAGCACTTAACCCTTTCAGTTCAGAGATAGCCCCACTGCAAGGTTTAAGAAAAGTTTTTTCCCCCGAGTTTCTCTTTAACTTGAATTGTACCTTGCATTATACCTTCTTGTAGAAAGTTATGTAGCTGTTGAATCAGTTGTATGGTTATTGTATGGGGTATCACATCATTGATATACATCATGCTACAGAGTTTCCCTTTCAACATCTTTTACAGGACTGTTCAAATCAGAGAAAAACAATTCTGTTGAGTCACTGCAGGACTTGCTGACTTCAGATTCTGAAGGAAGCTTTGCAGGAGCAAGTAGCCCAAGAGATTTGCAGTCACCTGATTTTACTGCCGCATTCAGTCCTGAGAAAAAGGAGGTATGTTAAGATTTTTTGGTCACCATGAAGATTTAGATCTCCTTTTTCTACACCGCATTGGTGTATTTTATTAACTTTAGGCTGGTGTTAAGGGGTTAGGGCTTTTCCCCATAGTTCCTAGGGGTAACGAGAGGACACAAACTAGCGTCCTCCCGTCACCCTAAGCTCAGTATACCGCGAGCTACCACTCGCGGTATACTGAGACACCGCAGCTGAAACGGATCCCGACAATTATGTCTGGATCCGCCCAGCTGCGTGAGTGACAGCTGGCTCTGCGTGAGAGCCAGCTGTACCCTCCCCCGTCCGTTCCGCCAGTCAGCGCTGGAGGATCGGGGAGGGGGGAATCCAGCCCCTCCCCCTGTCACGGCTCTCTGCCGTGACAAGATCGAGAAGTGAGCAAACGCCGGTATGTGTTCGCTCACTTCCCGATCTACTGAGCCGACCTGTGACAGTCTCATTGTCACAGGTCGGCTAGAACTAGGAGGATGAGTGAAAAGCACTCACCTCATAGTTCTCCTTTTAATAGACTCATAGAAACGCCAGTAATTTTTGGAAACTATGCTTAACCAAAGAAAAGATACTCCTGTTGCAGGTATTGACAGAGAAAGGTGGTTATAGGGTTTCTAGATTTTGAGTTCTTAAAAGTTTTGTGCTAGGGTAGAAGGTGTTGTCATATTGGGCCTGTATGCATGATATGATGATTCCATAATACCTGTACTCTAGCAGTCGAGGTGAAGTCTTGAGCTTTTTCGGCCAATGTATAAACCGCTTCAATAGCGGAAAATAAAGATTACCTAAAAGAGAACCATGGCCCAACCTTCTTTGGCCATAGTTCTCTATAGGATCACTCACTTGAGGTTTCCCAACACTTCCTGTTAATTCTCTGGGGCAGAAAGTCACTCCAGTGGGACAAAGGAAGAAAAACTTGTAAGGGGTTTTAACCTTTCCCCACTTTATCCAAAAAGTTTTGGCTTTACATAAACTAGGAGGTCCTTTTATAAACAATTTTCAAGGCTGTTCACCCAGCAAATATCTATGAATGTTCTCTAGTTTTTTTAATTCTTTACAAGTGCAATGAAATTTCAAATGTTTTGAAGTAATATTGCATTATGGCCAATAGATGGAGCTAAAGGAGCAGAGGAAATAAGTATATTGTATGCTTCTCAGCACCATGTAGTGGTCATAATGTGGCACTACATAAAACATTGCCTTGCCTGGTAAAGAAACAACTAACACAGGGATGTCCAAACTGCGGTCCTCCAGCTGTGGTAGAACTACGAATCCCATGAGGTTTTGCAAGATTCTCACAGCCACAGACATGACTACCGGAGAGAGAAGCATCATGGGATTTGTAGTTTCACCACATCTGGAGGGCTGGAGTTTTGACATCCCTGAACTAACATAACAAATATAACCGCACAAAATGTTCACAGATATTCACGGGGGATAGGGCCCTCGGGCTAGTTTATAAACAAACCCAAATATATATACATTTATTTATCCTCCTGACCAGAATAATACCATTGCACTTGGATGAACCCTAATTCTTAGCCTTTGAATGGAAATTGTCCTATAACAGAGGATGTCTAAATAAATTGTACTATATTTGGGGGAATTTTTTTGCATAATCAGACATTTCCCACTGAGGCTGGAAAGACCATTAGAACTCATGAATGCCAATACAGCTAGCCAGATGTGTAAATAACAATGCTAGAAAAACACATATTTTGCAGTAAAATGGGAGATGCAACGATTATTATTTCTTGATCTATGTTGATCTATGTCATGTGTACGGCATTGCTTTTGTTTTTTTTTTGCTTGGTCCTGCTGTGCAGTGCGTCTTTATGGCATTCTGAGCTAAATAATTCAAGTATTGCACATTTTTCCATAAATAAAAATCTGAACACCAATTTACTGATGTATGGTACCATGTAAAATCTCTATTTTGCTTAAGAAAGAAAAAAAATAATGGTTTGGTAAAGTAAGATGCAAATTAACTTGCAGACAAACTTTTACATCTGAAAAATAATTTTGGTCATTGATAGGGTAAATTTGCCAGATACAGAGGGAGGGAGGAAGAGGGAGGAAGAGGGAGGAAGAGGGAGGGAAGAGGGAGGGAAGAGGGAGGGAAGAGGGAGGGATGGAGGGAGGAGGGAGGGAGAGGGAGGGAGGAGGGAGAGGGGGAAAGAGAGAGTATATACTTATTGCCTCTGCTCCTTTTGCTCCATCTAGTGGCCATAATTTGATATTACTTTAAAACATTCGGAATTTCATTGCACTTGTAAAGCAAAAACATAAGAACTAAACATTCACATATACAGGTGAAACTCGAATAATTAGAATATCGTGCAAAGTTCATTTATTTCACTAATGTAACTTTAAAAGGTGAAACTAATATATGAGATAGACTCATTACATGCAAAGCAAGATCATTCAAGCCGTGATTTGTCATAATTGTGATGATTATGGCTTACAGCTCATGAAAACCCCAAGAACCCCAAATCCACAACCTCAAAAAAGTAGATTATTACATGAAATCAATAAAAGAAGGATTGTACATAGAACAATATCGGACCTCTGAAAAGTACAAGCATGCATATGTACTCAGTACTTGGTTTGGGCCCCTTTTGCAGCAATTACTGCAATTACTTTTGCACGATATTCTAATTATTCGAGTTTCACCTGTATTTGCTGGGTGAACTGCCTTGCAAATTGTTTATAAATGGACCCCCTAGTTTATGTGTAGCCAAAACTTTTTGTATAGAGTGGTGAAAGGTTTAAACCCCTTGCAGTTTTTTCTGCCTTTGTCCCATTGGGGAGACTTCCTGTCCCAGAGAATAACAGGAAGTGTTGGGAAATCTCAACTGAGTGACAGCTTTCATGTGAACAGGTGTCCCTCCCCCCCAGCTGAATATTAACAAATAGAGGGGATGAATCTACATAGTTTTTATAGTTATTATATAATGTAAAATGTTCATTCAATATATCAAAGAGACTCAACCCAGGACAGTCATTAGGTCATAGAGGGACACAGTCAATAGGGCCTTTAAAAAAAAATATATAAATGTCTGACTCCAAAATATTAGGATAGGTCCATACCATATGCCAGGTCAGCATTATTGTTGTAACATCTAATAATCTAGTGGTGAGGAAGGTCCCCATTGTAAAGAAAAAAAATGACTTGGGGTTAAATATGATTATATGTATATATTACTGTATATCAGTGTATACTACACACGTGCATTAGCATATTGTTAAAAGACAACTTCACCTTTGGTTAGGTAGTCCATTAATAAATGCCAACTGCCCCCTTACCTACCCTCGAGTGCAGACAGCTTGGTACAGTGCTTAACTTTCCACGTTCCAACAATTTTTCCATTTCATGGATATCAGCTGCTCCAGTGGTTGCTCAGCGTATGGGTTACCATAGGCATGCACAGTATAAGTTGTAATTATTGGGCCAGGCGGGCCCGGGGGTGTGGAGCATTTTTTAAGGGGGATGCAAGCATGCGGGAGGCTAATAATTCTGTCTGGTTCTCCCCACCTTGTTAGGATATTAAATATTTTCTCCATTTGCTAAAGAGGTATAATACAGCTTTTACATTATAAAGCATCGAAATGCATTAGGGTTTTTCTTCTCTGTCACCATGTGACGTAACAAATGCTCCAGCAAAATAGTTTTCAGGGCAAATACTTTGACTGGTTTACCTAGTGATCACATGAGATCATACATTGCACTGCAGGGTAATTAGGAGATGACCATCTACGAATGTAAAATTATGTTGAATGTGTAGTATGTAAAGGTAATGCATTTTTGTCATTGGAATTTCTTTTTTTACTGTAGGCAAAAAATAAAGTTTGCAATATTAGCACCAGCATCTCCCCACCGCCAGTAAGTGGGCCAGCTGCTAAAAATGTGCCAAAACTCACAACTTCTTCTCCGAAGGCGATTCCAAACAGCAAGCCTGCACCTACCACTTCTCCAAACTGGGTCACTGTGTCTTTCAGGTACATGTATGCACAAGTTGTATCCATGTTTTACTGAAACATCATTCTAATGTTTGGCTGGTTATAGGATTGAAGAATGATAAATACATGTTCTCTAATTAGCAGAGCACCTTTCAATTAGATTAGAATAATATCTACATGTCAACCAATGTGCAGATGTTTTGTTTTTTTTATCATCAGAAAAATACACAGGTCTGCTTTACTATTAGCCCTGGCACGGCACATGTGTACAAGACAAGTGGCCAGATAAACCCAAGCTTGGGCATTTGGACTGGGCACACCTCTAATTTGTTTACTGATCTGGAAATCAGTCTTATGTTAATCATTTGATGTCTTAGCAGCGCGCTTTACATGCATTCTATGTATTGACATTTATCACATCAAAGACATAGTAGGTAGAATGCAGTACATTTATAGTGAAAAACAGGGGTGAACAAATGAATATGGAATTCAGGAGGCAGTCTGCCCAGTCCAGGAGCCTGCAGGATTTTTTTGGCTGTCAGCTTCATAGACAGCAACTAGAGAAAACTAAAGAGCAACTAAAAACTCATAAGTTAGGTGCTAGCTGTAAATTTTAAAGAGCATTGGCTTCCTGGGATTTGTCCAGCCCTGGTGTTAACGTAGCATGTGTGCGTTAGTGTGGGTTGTTAAAAAACAAAATCCTGCTACATCTTTGGTTCATTTTCCAGCAAAGCACGCCTTTCTTATGAATGAATGGTAAACACACTGCACTGATTTGAATGAATGAAACTTGAATATGTCCTCATATGCTCTCTGACTCCATCTGGCAGCTCAGTTTCCAAGTAGATAGATTTTCTATGTTGGTTATCCTCATTGCATATGTAGCACAGCCATTTTCACACTATGCCTAATATTTCCAGTGTTGAAATAGATCAAATGTCCAGTCCAATAATGTGGTTGATTAGGATAAGCATGTAACAATGCCTCATGCTGTGCCATCAAATGTTCATACTCTATATTGGATTTATTGTGTTTTTTTTTCACTTATATTACAGTCCCATCAGTCCTCCTGCTATGGATCTCAGAAAAATCATGGAGATAGAGGAAAATAGTCAAAAATTTGGAGCTACACCAAAACTGAGTACAGGGTGTGTTCATAATCTTTAAAGTTTTTTTCATGTTATACTTGCTCACCATAGATTGCAGTGTCTTAAAAGAGAACTAAAGTCAGACCTTTTTTTTGGCATTACTTCTCTTTTAGGGCACAGGAGTACATTCACTAATGTATTCCTGTGACCCAAAGTCAGCATATAGTGGGTTACTGCCTTATTGACAGCTGGCTCTTAAGAGCCAGCTGTGCTCTTTTCCTCCCCTGTCTGTCCCTCTAGTGAGTGCTGGGGAAATGGAAAGGGGGGGCATCCCTGTGGGGAGCAGTGACTGAGCGTCGGCAGTCACACGTTCATTCATCTCTCGAGCTATAGTGCCGACGTGTGACAGCTGTAGTGTCCCACACCGGCTCTAGGTATTGGGAAGAGTATATTTTACTCTCCCAATACTTCTCCTTTTAAACTTGGAAAGTTGAATGATAATTCTGCCAAGCACTATTTGCATGAAAGCTGCCAATACAACAAAACCTTAGTGCAATTTCAGGTGGTTGTTGGTTCTTTTTGGGGAATAAATCCTTGTTTATTGGGTCCTCATGCCCCCAGGCAGTCAAGCATGTTGAAGCTGTCAATGGTGGCAGGCACAGGCCTAATGTGATGCCCTCTAACTCAATTATCTTAAAGCCCTGCCCTGGCCAAAATGTTTTTTCTTTTGAATATGATAGTAGAACTCTCAGTTTTTTGTGTGTGCTTCTGTGTCTTAATCGGGTAGTCACAATTGTCCACCAGGACAGGAAATGTCTGAGGATGATTTTGACCCATGCAAGGTTTTTATTGCAGTCATTTTCCTCATTTGTTCTTTCACTTTCTTTGTGGTTACGAAGACAGGAAGTGATAAGAAATCTCCCCAAAGGGGACATAGACAGAAAGAAAAAACACATTCCTACTTTATTAAACACTCAAAAGAAAAATGTTTGTCTGATGTTGGAACTCTAGTCACGGTTGGAGCAGGTTCTAAATCGGGCTATATTGCTCAACTCCAGTGTAGATATCACTGTATACTTTGAGGGAAAACAGATCATTGCATTTCTGTCTGGCAAATGTGTATGGTTTACAAGAGTCAGTAAAGAAAATGTAAAATACTATGGCATGAATGAGTTTCTGTATATTATTTTAACGGTTCGTTTAGCGGTTCGTCTAGCGTTTAGCTTTAACACAAAGACAGAAATAACGGGTGTGTGTAATATTCCTCCTACAAATTACTGTTTTACTAAATCTCAAGACTAACAAGGTTGTCATTTTTAAAGCCTTATAATTATTTTACAGGGTACAAAAGCCTAGCATTCATGGTACAAAGCTGTCTCAGAAGCAGCGGAAAATGATGGCAATGTCTTCTAAAGAGATTGGCAGCACAGAAAGTACAGTTAAGAGTGCTACAGTTACAAATAGCAAGAGCACACCAAAAACATGGTTAGTACACCTTCAAATAAAATGTTCCTTTTTAGACTTGCTGCCTCAATGTAATTGATTGTGATTTGTAGCTACTGCTTGTATTTTTAATCAAGTAATTCCAAGGTGGGTGGTTTCTTTTATCTTTTCCCAACATGTGTCACACATCTTGGCTTGTAAAAATATATTTTTATATTTGTCATTAACTACCTCCCGTTGTGTATACACGGCCGGCCTGGAGCTTCTTGGATGTAACTGGGCGTGTATACATGTCCTGTTACATCCGCCCGATTGGGGCGCGCGCGAGCGCGAAATGCCCGCTATTTGAAAACAGGCAGCGATGCCTGTTAATATACAAGCGATCCGCCGGCTATTGAGCCGGCGGATCGCTTGTATGAGGTCTCGTGACGTGCGCCCC